AAAGATGCTTGGAGGGTCCCATCCTATGCACGGCAAGGTGGTTATCTGTCAGCATAGAGCCCTATACGATGCTGAAAACTGAATTTCAGAAAACAGAACGCTTTACCTTGATGGAAGGTAGAGGTGATTCTGTGGACACTGTAGTCCCCAGAGCTGCGGCAGCTGGCTGAATGCCCGTAGCAAAAACACTGGGTACAGCCCTCAGGGTTTCCCTCATCCAGGTGGTAGTAACCTGGTCGACACCTGCAGTGGAGTTTTAGAAGTCGGGACAAGGCTATAGGTTATTTCTTATTCAAATATAGAGAATGTGATGACTGATCTTTTCTACTTTCTCCCCCGTCTGGATCTTTTTATTTTCAAAGGTGGGAAATACTAAGTGGCATACACCACCTTGTCCCAGACCACCTGTGGGACAGTCACAGCCCCTCAAGGGAAGGGCTTAATCGGGGCTAAAGGGTGGGAGGTGGGGGCCAGTGACGGAAGGCAAATGCTCCAGTCTCGGCACCCACTCGGCTGTACAGACCCACCCCGCACCAGACCACTAGGTGTGGCCCGCCATCCCTGCCCCTTGTACCCAGGCTCTGGCCCACAGAGGAGAGGGGCAGGTGAGGGTATAACAAAGGACGGCTAGTGGCTCCCTACAAAAGCAAAGTGTGGGCTGTCGTTCCGCCTCTGCTCCCAGATCGAGCCCTCCAGGGGCTTCTCTGAGGACCGCAGCTGCCAGACAAGTCCCAGATGTTGGGGTCACAGAGAAAAGGGCAGGGGAAGTTAAGGGGAGTCACTTTTTCTCTGTTCAAGTTAACTACATCCTTCCATATGAAATAATGATCATTTCAATATCATTTATTGGTATTATTTAGCACTTATGATATGCCAGGCACCTTATGTATGTACTCTCTCATTTAATCCTCACCAAAACCCTGTGAAATAGGAATTATTATTTCCAATTTTCTTAGATGAAGAGACCAAGACCAGAGAGGTTAAGAAGCTTGTTCAAGGTCATTGAGCTGGTTATGCGGCTGAGGCAAGATTCAAACTCAGATATAGCTGCCTTTAAATCATGTGGTCTAATCTGCTGTGCAAAATCACAGAAAAGAAAGTTAGCTGTGATATTTCAGAGGACGGCTGTAAATAAATAAACAGGGCAAGGGTTAAAAAAATCATTATGACATCTATGGAGGAGAGCTGTAGATTAAAAGATTGAAAAACAAGGAGGGAGGGAAGGCAGGAAGGCAGGAAGGCAAGAAGGAAGGAAGGAAGGAAGGAAGGAAGGAAGGAAGGAAGGAAGGAAGGAAGGAAGGAAGGAGGAAGGAAGGAAGGAAGGAAGGAAGGAAGGAAGGAAGGAAGGAAGGAAGGAAGGAAGGAAGGGAAGGAAGTGAAGAGAATCTGGCAAAACTAAAGGGTGGTGTTTATGGATGCACTTGCAAAATAAATTAAGAAGAAAAGTAAGGAGGAGAAAACCATAGAAGTCAGAACAGTGGTCACTTCTAGGGAGGTAGGAGGTGTCGTTGGGACGTCCCTTTTTTAGCAAAGGTCTAGTTTATATATTTGGTGGTGCTGACATTTGTTTTACGAGGTTTTCCATTTCTGTGTTACATTTTGAGATTAAAAATATTTTCAAAAAGTGACTCCTCTTTAAATCCTGAAGCTATGTTTCCCCACCCCAACCTCAGCAGCGAAGAACCCCCTGAAAACACGAGTTCAGAACGTCGCTGGCATTTCCTCTGCCCAGGTATAAGTGATTGGCAGGATGCCAAAGAACTGCTTTCTTACTTTTAAGGTGATGAGGAGGAAGCCTTTACCTCTGGGGCCGGGCTCACAGCCCTCTGCTCCCAACCGTCCCAGGCAAGGGCAGAGCTTTAAGTCTGGGTGGTTTGTAGGGAACAGCTGAGGTGGATATCTCCTCACTGGGCCACCTGCCCCAGTATGGCATGGGGCCCAAAAGGCTCTTACATCTTCCCTGGTTCGTGTGTGTGCATGCAACCACCGTGCCAACCCTGGGCGGCTCCCTTTCTGCATGATGGTTAAATATGGCCATGTGCCGTGATATTCTCTCTTACTAGAATGTTCCCAACATGTTTAATTAGGGCAGGCCTTTCCTAGGAGCAAGCTGAGTCACATGACCTCATAATTGCACCTTGTGTCAGAGCACCTGGGATTTGGAGTTGGGGAGGGGACTCACTGGGGCCCTGTGCCTCTACCGTTGTGTACACAAGGAGAAGAAGCCACAGCAAAAGCATGGAGTCCAGTGAGATTTGGAGGCTCAGTTGTATTTTTTTTTAAAGCCTAGTTTTTGAGGACAGAGGGCAGAAAAAAGGTCATCAACATTCATTCGTTAAGTGTCCTCTTTCCATAATTGCACTCAGAGGTTGGCTTCTCATGCTGGTTGCCAAGGGGTCCCTCCCTGCTCTGTATGTAGGGCCACAGTTCACACAGACCTATCACATCGTGCTCCGGTGACAGCAGGCTTGCAGACACAGCGGCCCGTGTCACAGGGCCCCGAGATGCCAGCTGGGTCACAGTCACACTTGGAGTCCCTGGGAAAGGAGGAAAAGAAAATTAGGGATGTGTTTCAAAATGTTTTGCAAGTGTACACACAAAGATCAAGTGCTCATGAGCAAATGTCACCGACTTGAGCGAATCTTTCATCCTCGTTGAGGTCTCGCTTAGCTACCCTCGCCCATGCTAATCTCTCTCGGGCCCTTTAATTAAGGATTCATTTGTCTACGTTAGCGCTACTCCGAGTGTGGTCTGTGGGCGGCAGCCAGTCCATGAACTAACTGTTTGCTACCTGCCCCTAAAGAGAGGAGGGGTTTTGTGCTGGAAAGTAAACCCAACTCATCACTGACTGTTTAGTTCGGTTGATCGTTTGGTTCAGTTGACTTTTTTTTTTTTATTTCTCTTGTTTAATTCAATGATGTCTGCTTTCATCATGATTGATTCCATCTACTTGCTATTTTCGTTCATTTCATCCTTTCTTTTGGTAACACCTTTATTGGGATGGAATGCCCATGCTCTGCAATTCATCCATTTAAAGTGTACAGTCAATGGTTTTTAGCAGCTTCTCAGAGTTGAACAACCATTACCCCAACTTTAGTACATTTTCATCACTCCAGAAAGAAACCCTGGGCCCTTTGCCGATGCCCCCTACCACTCCTCACCCCCTACATTTCCCACCCCCAGCCCCAGGCAGCCCCTAATCTACTTTCTGTCTGTACAGATTGGCTCATTCTGAACATTTCCTATAAATGGGATCATATGAGATGTGGCCTTTACTCGGCTTCTTTCACTCAGTATGTTTTCAAGGTTCATCCATGTCACGTCGTGAGCCAGCATTTCATCCTTTTTATGGCTGAATAAAATCCCATCCTGTGGACATACCACCTTTAGTTTATCCATTCATCAGCTGATGGACATTGGGTTGTTTCTACTTTTTAGCAATTATGAATAATGTGGCTGTGAGCATCTGTGTACAAGTTTCTGTGCAAATATATGTTTTCATATCTCTTGAGTGTGTACCTAGGAGCAGAATTGCTGAGTTTGGCTGGGTTGTTTGTTTGTCTGTTTATTTGTTTTTTGGCAAGACATTCCCAATGAAGCCTTTCATTATTTAATTTAGCCACCATCATCCTGTCTCATGCAGACTAGTACTTTAACTAGTGACTAAGTGTACAGATAGCTGACTGGTCAAAGCACTGGTCTCTGTCGCTCAGTTTGGCACACAATTAATGATATGTATTTATCTCATGGGTCCAAAACTGGTGGGTCTTTTCCCTACTGATCTGCTCTTCCTCCGACTGCCCTATGACTCTCTTTAAATCCTGCCCAAACTTGAATTCGGCTCCTCCCTCTCCCTTATATTCTTCGTCCGAGTAGATGCCACATCCTGTCAGGCTTCCTGCAGATTTCTTCCCCAATCCTCACCTTTCCATGCCCATGGTCTCCTCCCTGTCTTAGCCCCTCCAAACTACTCATCTGGACTCTCTGAAGCCCCGGGGATACTAGGACATGGGACATATTCCTGTTCTCTAGGAGTCTCAGGCAGGGCAGACATGGGAATAGCAATGACAATAAAGCAGATGCCAGCTGCAGCTGAGCTGGAACACCCCTACATGCCTCTTCCTGAGCAGATACATCAGTGAACAAGACAAAGCCACAATGGGGCTCACATGCTAGTTTGAGAGACAGACAAATATGTATAGAAAATAAGAGATTTTAATAAAACAAGAGTGAGAACACGGAGGGTGGGGCCTGGTCAAGGAAGGCCTCCGTGAGGAGGTGGACGAGGCGGGGATAGAGCCCCAGGAATCTCTGTGTGGCTCTGCAGGAGGAGAGGAAGCTCTAGGCCAAGGTCAAGGTCACATATGCTTGGCTCCTTTGAAGGAGGGAAGGATGGCTGGGGTGGCCCGAATGCACGGAGCCAGGGGAGGTAGTGAGAAGTTGAAAGAGGGAAGGATGGCTGGGGTGGCCTGAATGCACGGAGCCAGGGGAGGTAGTGAGAAGTTGAGTGGGAGCCTGTGGCTGAGGGCGTGGGGATTTGGCAGGGCTCTGCTGGGTATTGATGAGAAGGGCGGATCTCATGCTGAGTGGGAAAGGGAGCGAATAGAGGGTTGCAAGCGGAGAAGTGATATGATCTGCTTCATGTTTTAACAGGTTATGAAAGGGAGATCGGGCCAAGGGAAGGGTCTCTGAACACAATCTGAAAGAGAACATCCGGGAAGCCAAGAGGACCTGAGACGACGATGACGGGGACGGTACGAGCGTGGCTGGGGGGACAGTGCGCATGCGGACGAGGGGCTGGAAAAGCGGGCATCGGGGACGTGATTCCTCCGTGGGCAACGGGGACGTGATTCCTCCGCGGGCGGACTTCTAGCTCATGGCTTTGCTGTCGAGATCCCCCTCCTCTAAACCATCCCCAAACCCTGCCAGCTCCGCATCGCTGGATTGGTTGTATGATTTGTAATGTAAGCTCCAACTTTTTCCAGAAAAGATTGGGAGGAGGGATAGAGGATGCTTCAAACTAACGGGGATTAAAGTCATGCAGAAAAGTTCTTCTACTCCAAATTCATTGGCGTTGAAACGAGTCCCAGGTTAGAATTTGAAGATTCTTTACCTCCTTCCCAGTTCGTCTAAAGCGGGGCAAATTGTTGGGGTGAGGACATGGTTCCAGAGCCCAAACTCTGGGCCTGAATACTAAGTTCACCCTCACCAGTAACATCAGGCAACTTATTTCACCTCACATGGTATGAGTTTACTATCGTTAACATGAGTATAATTTTAATCCCAACCTCACAGGTTTTTTGTGAAGGTTAAATGAGATAAGCCATATGAAATTCTCAAGGCAGTCTTTGGCACACAGTAGGTGCTCAGGAAAGGTAAGCGGTCACTAATGTCAATATAACTGTCATTACTCATGGCAGAGGCAGCAGGGGTGGGTGTAGGTGCTTACGGTAGCCTTCGGTCCTGGGTGCACCCAGCATCAGTGAGTGTGTGGAAGCCTGGCAGGCATCGGTCACACCTGTCTCCCATCACACCTGGCTTACAGCTGCACCGTCCAGAGTCGTCACATCGCGCGCTAAGAGAACCTGTAACCGACATGGTAGGGGAAGAAAAGAAGAAGAGGAAATATGTCATTTACACGGCATTAGGAAGCAACTGTCACTCCGCGGGAGTGCAATAAACACTAAGTAACAACCACCGCCTGCTGCCTCTAGCAGTTCTCTCACATGTCTGCGTGTGACTCTGCCCATTAGGGAGAGTTTTGACAGCCAAGGATGTCTTCTTCAGGGAAGGAAATGGAAATGACTCCTGAAAGCATCTTAATTTACATATCTGCTTCATTTCAATTAGTAGTGTGTAAGCCGCGGCTTTTTAAAAGAAATTTGTCAAATCTCTGAGATCTCAAGAAGGGAGAAAATTAGTGAATGAGTACATGGGCCGCCCTGAAGAGAACGGGCATGAGAAAGTGTGCAATATTCTCCCTTATTTCTGGCAGGGAAAAGCCACCTTTTAAGGGTCAGTGTTCGAATGGTGTGATTTTTTTTTTTGAGTACAAAAAGGCCTCTTGACTAAAAATGTCTCCACCAGCCTGGAGGGGTAGAAACTCTCATCCCTGGAGCATCACCCTTTGTGAGGGCTGAAGGACCTATGCATCTCGCCCAGTTTATAGCACTAGAGCACTTGTCCCGTGATTGATTTTTACAGACATGCTCTTCCCTGTAAATGAGTCCTCGCAGATTGAGCGCTGGTGAAAGACAAGAGGTTCTCAGGATAACGAAATGTGTCACTGTGGAACCCAACCACTTCTCAGCACCTCCCCTCCCACCAGCCCAGTTTGAGCCTCCATCTTCCCTTCCCTAGACCCTGCCTCTCGCTCTCCTCCCTGCCTGCATTCTTGCCTGCATTCTCTATGTATAGAAGCCAGGGTGCTCTTTCTAAAATGGAATGCGGATCCTATCATTCATCTGTTTAGGTCCGCTGGTAGCTCGCACTGTATCCTGGCCCGCGAGACGCAACCTCTCTTACCCCACCTCCCTCCGTCCTCCACTAAGTTCCAGCTGCTCTCCCTGTTCCTAGAAAGGGGTAAACTTCATCCATCCTCAGGGCATTTGCACCTGCCGCCCCCTCGGCCTGGAACGCTCTTGCCCCAGACTTCCCCGGGTTGGCCCATTCTCAGCACTCAGGTTTCGGTTAAATATCACTTCTCTAGAGAAATATTCTCTGGCTCACATATCTCGAATACCCCTCCCACCTCTGCTCCAGTCCTTAGCCCCGCTCACTTATGATGACTTCAGCTCACGTTCCCTGCTGTGTCCCCAGGGTCCAGCACTGTGCTCGGCACAAAGAAGCAGCCCAGGAATCCGCTGGATTAAAGCCCAGATGCCGAGAACGAGGATGGGGCTGTTGTGAAAGGGGCTGATGGAAGCCAAGAGATGAGGTGGAAGCTGGCGAGGCCTCACCTGCTTTAAAATCTCCCTGCGGCTGGCAAAACTATAAAATAATCCAGATAGCTCAACTAATTGTGACAGGCTATTTATACTCTATACAGCCAATGAAATACTTAAAAGTTACTTGCTCCTTTTTTTCTAATCCATTATTCTCCTGTGAACTTTTCATTCACTAGTAGGTACAATTCAAATCAATAAAGGTATTGACTCTGTGCCTATAAAAAAAAAAGGCTTTTATGCCACATGTGGAGCATGAAATAAATTAGTCACATTCACAGTCAGAGTCTGTGACAGACTCCATGTCAACCCTGAAAGGCTTGAGGGGCCCTCAGTGATAAGAGTATGAACTACATTTTTTGAGCGCCCAAGACACGTGAGACACTGAGTCAGGCACTTTTGATATATCAGCTCATGCTATCAACTAATGAATTAAAAGCTAACAGAAGGATAACAGACCCGTTTGTGGGTAATAAGGGAACTATCAGACTGTCAGTTTAGAAAGAAGACTCTAGAGCAATGAACAGGATAGTGTGAGGAGGGGAAGGCCAGCAGGCTCCTGTAAGAGGAATCCTGCTGTGACATCATGGCCTGGAGCACAGGAGTTGGGAGCGGAGAGTAGGAAGGAAACACTGAGGATGAAGAATGAACAGAGTTTGGTGACTCTCGGGAAATGGATGGTAGGGGGCGGGGATCACACAGATGTCACCAAGGTCCCAGGGAACACAACAAAATGGAATGCGATGCTATTTACCAGGAAGAAGATTGAGGAGGAGCAGGCTCTCAGGTTGAACATTGCAAGAGAAGAAAATGAGTTCCGTTTTGGACATAGCGAACTCGAGGTTCCAGCTGTGGATTACGATGGAAATGTGAATCCGGGCCTCGAGAGAGAGGCTGGAGATGATGTTCTAGGAGGCGTCAGCGCACAGAGTAATAGGAAGCGTGACAGGACTTTGGGAGCAGATAGAGAGCGGGAGGAAGTGCCTCGAACAGAAATGGAACTTCGCTGATGAAAGGTAAGGGGGGATTAGGGTGGGGAGAAGTCTCAGGACAGCAGAAGGCAAAGCGAGGAGGGTTAAGGGAGGATCAAAGGAGGGGAAAAGTCTTCCGGATCTAAGGCAAGAGAGCGTTCAGCCAGAGGAGGGTGGAGAGAGGCTGCTGTGTCTGGCATTTAGAGATCGCCATACTCACTGCTCTTCGGTCAGCAGAGCTAAGAGGGAAATATTATTTTTTAAATTATGCTTTGATAAATAACATTAAATCATCATAAAGTCATCTCTCTTTAATACAACTTAGTTGTTTTGTTTTGTTTTTTTTTAACACAAATGGTCATTGATCTGGAACTCAGAAACCCATTTGTTTCCATTCAAATTAATGGACATTATGCTTTTCACTTAAGAAAACTCCACAGCAGTTTTTCAGAAACGAATTATCCTTATAAGATGGAGAAGACTGGACTTTGCTTTTGGGTTTGGCCCAAACAGCCTGAAAAAGCACTCTACGAAACAGCGTTCTGAGGGGTATTAATAGTCACCTCATGAAAATAGGCATTCTGTGCTCAAGAGTTTGGGAAATGGTACACACTAAATCTTTTACAGATTTATAACATAATAGTACATTCAGTAGGCAAGAAGCCTGTTTAACTTTTTAATGCCAGCGATTTCAAATATTATTTGACATTCTCACAGGCAACACCTATTATTATCTTGAGGAACACAGTGTTCCATAGAATATCATCCAGCGAAACAGTTCTAGACACCGGGGGTCACGAAAAGAGCCTGGCTTTGATGTACAGCAGATCTCACTTCAAATTCCAGCTTTGCCACTTAGCTGTGTATCCTGGGGCAAACTGCTCACTCACTACTTCTTTTGAGTGGAGATAAAAACTTATACCTATACCTAATAGAGCTGTCGTAGGACTTTGAGTTAAAATATATCAAGTGCCTAATTCAGTATCTCATGCATAGTAGGTGTTCCAAAAAACGTAGTTTATACTGTTATCTCTAGGCCTCTTTTAAGCCTTACAAAGTACACAAGTTCTTAGTGTTCACATGGCTACTTTATTTCATGTTCCTAAACTTCCAAAATAATAGCACTGGGTTTTCAAAGTGTCTCCTTAGTATAAAAAGACCTGTCTCAGTTTCTACATCATGAGCTACTCTTAGGGGCCGTGAACAATCGAGTTTCAAAAACAGATGAAGAACAGCTTCCTGTTCACAGTTTGTGTCCCAACGAACACCTTAAGGCTAATGTAGATATAGTTTACATGCATTTGAGGATTCAGGAAGGCATTCTAAAATTATTAATATTTAAAATTTAAGCCAAGGGAGTAAATTCCTTTTTGAGAACCCTTTAAAAGTAAATATACTTGCATTTTTAAATGACATGGCTATTATTTAAGAGTTATATGGAATAATAATTAATTATTATTTAAGGCATATTTTAAATAATAACTCGAATGATACAGTCTCAGTAATCCGCTGTCAGGAACATAAAAATTGATAAAATTAAGAGAATAAGTTCAATGTCATTGATGTCCACACAGATCTCAAGAATGTAGGTGTCACAGGAGGAACAAACACATACATGCACACACAGTGAATTTTAAAATATCTGCAAAAGGTTATCAGGTGCATACTAAATCTTACGCATGTGGTTGGTTACAAGAGTCGAAAATAACTCGGCCTTACTGCTGAGCTCACAAAGTCATCATCGAGAAACAAGCCCCGTTGCTATATTTGTGAGAAATTGATGTGAAGTCCAAATCTGTGACCAATTTGGCAATTATTAATGCTGTTGCCTTCATTTACCATACATGGAATGATAGCAGTTTTTCTAAAATGCATTCCTCTGCATTTGAAATTGAATATACAAGTTCCCTTGTGAAGTTATTATTTGATTTGGTTTGATTTGGAGACTGAGAAATCACATAGGGAATTAACCTCGTGCCACTGGTTTAGTGATCTGTGCAGCCAACGTGCAGTCGGAGGTGGCACATGGAGGGGACAGTCTCTGCCACCAACATGCAAGCAGCCCAGGCAGCTGGGGCTCTGGAGCTTTAGCCCCTTCATCTATGTAATGGTGGGTGGAGTGTGTCAGTACACACACAAAGGAGACAGCATCTATGAATATGTTCTGGGGAAGTATAAAGCATTACCCAGATCTTAGCAAAGAATATCTACAAAGTTTTTCCTGAACATCTAATTTTCTGTTGTTGGAGATAAAAGGATACCATTCTGTTTTTCTGTTTGTCTGTTTTGGGGGGTTTTTTTTGTTTGTTTGTTTTTTCATATGAAGGGTATAAGGGGGAATAGTTCTTGATTAGAACGTCTGGATTACAACTTGAGCTCTTGTAATGACTTGCTGAGAAACTTCAGGCCATTCATTAACTCTTCTAGGTCTCAATTTCCCCACAGTTAAAATAACAATTCACTGCCATATGTTAATAATAAATAAAATGTTAATAAATAGTTGTAGACCAAACATATGGCCTTTACCAGGCTTCTTTCTATGCTTGAAGGTGATATTTTAGCAAGCCAGTGTTCCAGGGGATTAGGACCCTAACCTCTGTCCTAATAAGAAACACAATTTATTGCATTGTTCACCACGTGCTTGACAAACGTCATTTTATCCTCATGTGATCCTGTAATGTAAGTAACGTGATCACCCTTTTATAGGTGAGGACAGTGGGGTAGCGAGAGGTTAAGGAGTATGTCCAGAGGGACATCACACTAGTGGAAGTGCCAAGATTTGAGCCCAGGCTGTCCAGCTCCAAAACCCACCACGTTATGATCTTCGACATCAGCACACCTGGGCTGGAACTCACTTAGCTCTACAACCTTCGACAAGTTTCTCCACCTGCCTCTCTAAGCCTCTGCTACCGCATTCGTAAAATGGAAATAATAATAGCACCCTCTTCATAAGGTTATTTGTGAAGATTAAATTAATTGCTGGATGAAAGCATATAGAATAGCGCCTGCTACAGAGTGAGTGAGTAATGCATGTTTGCTACAATATAAGATGCAAATCATCGCTGGGCTCCACCATTTCCTACCCCCAGACTAAGCACACTGAGTCAGGGGTAACTGTTCCCCAAAAGAAAAGCAAGAGCCAGACTCATTGTTGCTAGGCGGGCAGTGGACTACACTATGAAAAGAAGAGAGGATGCAGCAAATCCCTCATTAGCATCTCTCCTTGCTAAGCAGCAGGCTTAGCTTGTCTGCTCTGAGACTAATCACCCTGTCTGCAGCTGAGCCAATTACATTCTAGTTCCATCGTCTCTGATCATTTTGCTGGTATGACCCAAATCCAGTGACTCACAAGAAAGCCACATTACCTACAGCAATGTGGGCTCTGCAGAGAGGTTAAATGCCCATTTTAATGGAATAATTTTTCTTTTAGGTTTCCTTTGTGAGGTGTTTTGATTCGTAGGGAGAACTACTCAATCCAAAAGATTCTAGATGCTGATTCTACGCCACAAAGCTCAGCAAATCTGGTTCAAACCACATTGTAACAGCAACTCTGGCAATTTGGAGAGTGATTGCTGGGATATGGGCCTGTATCACCACATGGTCACCCCAGTTTTCTATAAGGGTCCCCAACACATTCTACCAGCAACTCGCGGCTGGACCCAAATCTGCCTGTTTTTAGATTATTTCAGATTCTGCTATGAGTTGATTCTAGGGAGCTACACAGAGCAATTACCACGTGCCGGCCTGGCTATACACCCTTTAGGCATGTTAATATTTATCATAGTATGCTATTAAACACTTTCTAGCAAAGAGAAGAAACAGATATTGCCAAGATAATAGACAAATAGAGTAGTTTTAAAAAAAAACCCTCAACTTATTTAACAGAACTGCCTATCTCTCCCTCGTTATTTTTACTAACTTGTCTTTACTGTCTGCCCTCAATGAATATAGCACAATGTGTGTGTGTGTGTGCCTGTGTGTCTGTGTCTGTGTGTGCGCACGCGTGCATGCACACATGCCCCCAAATTACAGTTCTGCGAATATAGCACGGGGTGATACATTTAAAACAAACAAACAAGATCCCACCTATGAACCAGCCACCCTGTTAGGTCCTTCTTATTTGTTAATTCTATTTTTTCTTGTTGACAAGCCTGGGAAAGACTTTAATCTGCCTATTTATTTGTCTGTGTCTTCTATTAGTACCACTTGATATTGCTAGCACCTAGCATAGCACCAGTAACGGATCTTTCTAATCCCTTATTTTTCGAGAGATTGGTCAGATGGTTGTGGATATGAGGAACTATCACTGGAAGAATTCAAAGTTCCTTTGTTCCTGGGTCAAATACTGCCGTCTGCCAAGAAAAGTAATCCTGTGCCTCTGGGTACTAGAATTCAAACCAACATGCCCTAAGGAACCCAGACTTCAGAAAAACACGTTTCTTTCCAGACTGAAATTGGTAAAGACAAAACAAAACAAACCAATAAACAAAAAACAATGTCCGGTAAATCTAAATCGTTCTCGAAGTTGAGCCCCTCTCTGTCGGGCTGCTTGCTTCTCCCTCCCTCCCCTCCTCCCCATCTCCCTCTCCCTTTTTCTTTTGCCTTCTTCCAACTACCTTTGGAGTTACAATTGCAGGGCAAACAGCGGTCTCTCTCTCTCTGTCGGTAAAATCCTTCTCTGCACCTCTCGCAGTGAATGCCGTCCGTGTTGTCATTGCAGTTGAGGCAACGGAATCCATTTCCCGTCTGCCTGTGAAGGTCACGATCAAAGATGCATTGCCGGGACTTCCCATTGCAATCACAGACTGGGGATCAGGAAAAAAGAGACGTCGTTAGCAAAACACACAGAGACAATTCTCCCAGGTGTTTTATTATTGATATCAATTACGCAGGGGGTACGGGGTACTGCATATTAATCTCATCTACTTGATGGAGGTCGGGGGGGGGGCGGTGGAACGGGCCGGGTGAGGACTGTGAGACTTCGTGCTCCACCTAAATGAAGTAGCAGTTATGCAGTGCTAGTGGGGCGTTGCCTGGGGGAACGTGGGTTCAGGGTTACTCCTCAACTGTCCAATTCCTCATGACAAACCAAAAATCTTATATATATATATTTTATGTGAAAATTTCTGAATTAAATATTTGCAAGGAATTCATTTTGAAAACCCCATAGAAAAAGTCTATGGCTGGAAAAGACCCGAGGACTGCCAACTGTCCAACAGCTGATGGTGTCGTCTGTTCAAGACACACAACATCTGTTCCTCCAGCGATGGTCAAGTCTGAGGAGCTAATGTGACTCTCTGGACAGGTATCTCCTCCCCAACTCACTGTGCCTTGAGTGTCCTCCCAACGGACACCTCCCAAAGCCAGGTATCAAAGAGAACCGTAGTCCCATGAAGAATAGCCTTTCCCAAGTGTCTAGGAAAGTTTATCTTGTGGATATTCCAAAGAGACTCATGGAGTGACATCTTCATGTGTGACCTAAACAGCCAATGAGGTGATACACAGAAATACTGAGCATAGTACCACGCACACAGCACTTAAGAAATGATTCGGTCACTGTTTAGAAGAGAAAGGTGATGAGCCTTGAGGTTAAAAGACGTGGATTAAATATCGATTCTGCTATTTTCTTGCCAGATCACTCGAACTCTCTGCATCCTGGCTCTTCTCTTATAAATGAACACGGCGTTTTCTGCCTCCCTGGACTGGTGAGAGGGTTCCACTGAGAAAAGAATATCAAAGTCCTTCATCTTTGCTATTTTATTCCTCACTCATATGAGACAGTTATTGCCTTGGATGAGAAAAATGCAGCTCTGAAAGGTTAACTAATTTGACCCAGAGGAGAGCTGGGATTTGAACTTTGTCTGATGCCAAACTCACTTTCTCTCCACTAGGCACGCTGTTGCCAATGGTCATACATGCGCAATGAGCCTGTTTCTGGAAGCGCCTGGGGCCATGGCTCACCCAGAGTACTGATAAAAATGGCAAATGTGCCAACATGTACTGAGCAGCTGCCCTTTGCAAGCCGTGTCAGGCTCTGCAGGCACAAAGGTAACTAAGTAAATTCTCTGAGCTTTTTAAGTGACTTCCTTACAGCTCCTAAAACTCTCTCTGGCTACTTTGGATGCCATCTAATCCAGACAAAGTCCACTAACACCCATCCGGAGCCAATTCTATTTAGAGGACTTTACATACAGCGGCTCACAGTAACACTTTAACATGGGTTTTGTTTTCCCCATTTAACAGGAGAAGAAACAAATGCTTAGAAGGAGTAGGCATCTTTCCTAACGTCACAGAGCTAAATGGCAAAGATAATTTGCTCCCAGGTCTTTCCAGCCACAAAGCCCTCACCTTTCCATTTTCTCCTGCGTTTCAAGAATCCAGTTTACCACCAGTTTACCACTACTCAGACATTCAGGAAGGAAAATTCATCCCCTTCTTGAATCCTTCCTAATCTAGTACGATTTTCTGTTCCTCCTTAGACAGCACTGGTTGTTACAAATTATTTTTATGGAGTTTTAAATCTGCCTTCCTCCCTGTAATTTTTACCATGTGTTCTTGTTCTGCCCTGGAAAACACACACACACACACACGCACACACACAGACACACACACACACACACACACACACACACACACCCACGCTCTCTTCTTCATTTATTTAGTCATCATTTACTTCAGATATTGTTTTATTAAGGCACTATGTCCACCAAGCCTTTGAATATCTGAAGATAGTAACTATAGCATCTCCCTCCTCAGTCTCGTCACCTCCAGGACTTTCAACCATGTCCCATGTCACAATTTCTAGATCCTTCTTGACTACCCTCCTAGAAACAAACTCTAATTTTTAGTATCTTTCTTTAAATGGCCAGAATTTATTACAGTCCTTCACGTGTGGTTTGAACGGCTCAGCTTAACAACCAGACCAGATATTACAGCTCCACGGATGCAGCCTAACATTTCATCACACTTACAGCTTATTAAGTTTGCACTCAATTCAGGCTCCCAGGGCTTTTCACAGAACTGGTGCCAAGGCGAATCTTTCCCAGCGAATGCTTGTGTAACTGATTTTTTGGATCTCGAACAGATGTGCCACGCAGCTGTCATGTGCTGTGACACTTCTACCGAGTACATCGTCAGGCACGTACAAGAGCTAAATTCGCCAGCCAGTGATCCTTGTGTGGTTCCATGAGTCGATGCCCTTTCTGCCCTGGATGCCTCTGGGGAGGATCTCAAAATAATTACAAACTTTCATGGTGCATTTCTTATTCAGAACAAATTTTTTGCTGGTAATAGTTAACTTCGTAAGGACAGCTCATGATATATTTATATAGAGCAATATTTTAAAAATAGACAACCTTGTCATTACCTGGTTTTTAACAATCTCCCTTTCCTTCTGTCCTTTCTCCTTCAAAGCTCTATTCTCAAAGAACTGTGTTCTTCCTCTAAATTCATAGCCTTCCTTGGAGATGAATTATAGTTCCCGCCAGGGAGGCCGTCAGCCGGCATCCCCTCTGTGGAACTTGCCCAACAAGTTACAAATGTATTGCTAATCTCTCCCTCCTCTCTCTCAAGTGGGTTTCTGTTACAGTGCAGGGTTATGCTGGCTGGGGTGGGGGGATCCCTGGGCCTGATGTCTGGGGAGTGTATTGGCCTCCTATGTCTGTATTATGGGCCGATTCCAGGAAGACGCTTTCTCCAGCCTTGCCTATGGGACTTTGAAGTTACCAAGCTGAGCTGAGCTTAACACTTAGCTGGGTCAATGTCGAGTCTCCTGAACGCTCACAGCCAGAGAAAGAGGGGGAGAGCTGGCCCTTTCGTACGGAACGGCCCCTTTTGTCCCTGATGCATTTGCAACATGGTCTCTCTCAAATCATCTCCCAAATTTAGACTAACTTTCCTAAAACCAATTATTATTCATTCGCACGACTGCAAAAAAAAAAAAAAGTCTTCGTATTTCAAATTCCAGACTATTCCTGCAACTGGGCTTAACGAAATGGCCCTCACGCAGCTTGTGCCTGGTCTCTTTTATTCTGTGACCAACTTCTTCCCCAGCCACTCCTCTGGGCATGCTGGCTGTCGAAGGGCACTGGGAGGCCAGAATAAGGCAGCAGGGAGCAGTGGGGACTGTGCCAAAGGGAGAAGCAACATGTCACCTCAGGCCAACTGTAGCCACACAGGAATGATATCTACTGTAGTCAGCTTTTCCACTTAATGTGTTTAAAGAAGACAGAAATCTAGCGTTATGTATGAAATCTACTGAGTTCCAAATGTTGGCAAAAATTTTTCCTAAATTTATTTTTGCAGTGAAGCTGGGCAAATCTTTGCACTGGACTCTGCTCTTTGAGCAGGCAGAAAGCACACCTCATGCCTTAGAAAAAGGAAAAACGAAGTCTTAGTCTGTGGTACACTGTCTGGTCCACAGGAGGTATTTAACGCTTTTTTAATGAACGAATGAATGAATGTTTTCTTGAACCTCAGGAAACTCCTAGATGTGTTTTTACCATTTCAAGGACTCCACATGTCCCCACATGTCTGGCTATGCCTTAAAAATACAAATATCAATACTTAGCAATCACACTCTTCCTTGTGCTCTGGCGGGGATGATTTTCTCCACAGAAGCCCACTCCAGAAAATGGCCCTTCTTGATAACTTACAATATAATTTATTTAGATTAATAAACCTAAATATAAGCCTGTAATACATTTTAAAACAAGAGGACATTCTAAAAAATGTTTTTTTTATTACACTTCCTTTATGTTTAACCTTGTTTAACTTTATGCCTAGAACTTTTTTCATTTTTATTTCATAATCTGTTTGCTATTATTGCAAATTCTGGGCTAGCACCAAATTTCATAAATACTTTTTCTAATTTCCATCAGGGAGCCGTGACACAAAATCAAGCGACTGAAATGTAAAGATGGGGGTCCTGGACATTTCTCTTTTCTCTATATTCATTCATTCATTCATTCATTCGACAAATATATATTGAGCACTTATTATGTTTCTACGTGCCAAGCCCTGTTCTAGGCACTGGGGATAAAGCAGTAAACAAAACCAGACCTCATGGGAGTCTTCATGGAAGCTGGAGGGGAAAAAAATAAAGTAATACAGAGAGAATATTGAGAGCGTGGTATTTGTTAGCGAGAGCTACATGACGCAGTGGAAGGAAACAGGAAGTCAGGGGGTGGTAAGGCGAGTTGGAAGGGAGGGCTGAAAAGTGCCATGCTGGTTTACTATTTTATTTTTATTTTGACTTTCATCAGTTTATGACTTTGCCCATTTATCTATTGGGCGCCATGTTTTTCTGATCGGTTATCATGAATTATTTATATAACAAATGTATCAAACTATTTGCCTGTCCCGTTGTTACAAATTTTCTTTTGCCCCTCCTAAGCTCCCATTCTATCACCTTCTTGATAGATTTTGTTTCACTGATTCTTACTCCTTTTTCCCCTTCTTCTGTCCTCAGCCAATGAAATGTACAGTTTTTTTCCATTTATTTAATAAATATCACTTCACACCTAACAGGGAGGCTGCACTGGGCGCTTGGAACCTGGGACTTCATGGAGAAGCAAGATTTCAAAGAAGGGATTCGCCAGTGTTTCATTATGTCAAATGAGATATATATTTACCTAGGATGTATTTATTTAATATACAAATATATATATTTACTTAAAACATATTGGGCGTTGGCAAACACTATTCACATCATTCACGTCTTCCTCCTTTAGCCATGGACAGGCATGGATCTAGGACCTGGCCTTAAAACACCTTTGCATCAGAAAATACGGGAAAAAAA